TCAAACAGTAGTTTGCCATAATCAGAAGTGTATGGATGCTGATGGTAACCACTTTGATCACCTCTTGTAATTGCAGAAGTCAAATGTGACTGTATTCATCTTTTGTCTTCGGTATATATTGAGTATTACAGTTTTAATAGTTTTCCTTTCTTAAAATGTTGTATACATTTTTTTGGAACCCTCTGTATTTGTATAATATTTACCATGTTATTTATTTATATATTTTAAAAAATTGAATAAGCTGACATTTTTGCATAAACTTATTTAAAATATAAAACTTTATATCAGAATCATAAATGATAAAACACTACTTGAAATAAAAAGTATGCATTAATTCATATTGAAATATATTTATAAATATTAATATTGTATTAAAGGACAAACAGTGTAACATCAAGAATGCACACAAATATTTTTAGAAGCACTGAGGCACTGAACTGAAAATTTCAGTTCTTGCTCTCAAGTAGTTTAATAACATAAATCAGAACTTGTTTGCCTAAGTGAGACAAGAAAAGATCATCTAAACCCATTGATTTTTATCTATTTTAGAATCCTTAAGGGCAGGTACTTTGTCTTGATGTCCTGTGATATGTGTAGAATCATTCTCTGTGCACAGAGTGCACTCTACCACATGGTATTTGAAGGCTGTGCTCGTCTTTAGAGAAGATTTGTTTCTTTTTTCAAAATTCCTATTTTCCTGTGTCTAAGAACATTGCATAATACTTTTGTGCCTGATCTGATTGAACAAACTAGAAAGAGGTCTTCAAGGATCTTTTTTGTCCTACAAGCAAAAATTAAAGGAAAAACTAGCTTTACTCTCATCCATCATGTTGTTAAACATGTATCAGCTGACAAATGACTAAATTTCATTATGCGATAGCTTTCCAAAGTGATCTTCACTCAATCATTTAATCTGAGATATATGGTGAATGTTTAAATATACAGTAAAACCTTGGATTGCAAGTAACTTGATTTGCAAGTGTTCCACAAGACGAGCAAACATTTCTAATACATTTTAACTTGGTAAATGAAAGATGTCTTGCAACCTGAATAGTTTGTTTCTGGAATGAATTATTCTTGCAAACCAAGCACATTTTAACGTGGTAAACAAGCAATGTCTGGCAATACGAGTAGTTTGTTTCTGGAACAAATTATGTTCGCAAACCAAGGTATTACTGTGTGTGTGTGTGTATGTTTGTGTGTGTGTGTGTGTGTGCGCGTGCGTGTGCGCGTGTGTGTGTGTGTGTGTGTGTNTATATATATATATATATATATATATATATATATATATATTGCAATAAAAGACACATTGCCATTAATCCCCCTCAAAATACTCCCCCTTGCTTCAAACACACTTATCCCATCTTTCTTGCCATTTTCTGTAGCAGTTCTGGAAGTCCTCTTCATGAGTGTCTTTAGTTGTTCTGTCATGCTTGTCTCAATGTCCCCCTTGTTTAATTGACTCAGAAATTATGAATCCTCTCTAATTACTATACCATTTGCCACAGATTTGGAAACAAAAACAAATAATTGGCTAAAAGGATAAAAAGAAGAAAACAATCAAATAAGGAAATCTTGGGTCTTCAAAGTTTCTAATATGGGTATAACCTCACATAAGAATGAAGTAGTCAAATTATTTGCTCTCACAATCCTTAAAAGCCTGAAGTATTTTAATAGTCAAATAAAACTGAAAATGTATTTCAAGATGTTTCAGGGATTGAAAGTAAGTTATTTGGCTGAAAAAAAAAGAATTAAGACTCCTCTAGGAATTCCTGTCTATTATTTTAAAAGCATAACATAATTCACAGTGATCTAATCCACACAAAAGTGATATTATATATTAGAATAAATCTGATGCATTACAAGAAAGCTTCAACATTAATGTGGACTTAAAATTATTTAAACAAAGTTGTTTTGCTTCAGAATCTATTTTTTCTGGCATTTATGAAAACAAAGGACAAATTGTCTCTCAACAACAATAATCACAAACACCTAGCAATGAACAAACAAAAAGAAATGATAATGTCTGTAACAAGATGATAGATTAAAATAACTGAAAGAAGAAAACAACAAAAATAGTTCAATGTGAGCTTTTAGTGATAAAATACAGTCTCCATACAGCATATTTATGTGTTTCTTCAAAAAGTTAATTGAGTATCATTATCTGAGTTTGATTTTATCTTCTTTACTAATTTTTTCTGGCAAAAAATTTAAAAAAAAACAAAAGAAAAGCATCTACTATTTATCCCATTGAGTGTACCTTTAAAAAAATATTTTGTTTCTTACTTTCTACTCTTAGACTTTCATTGTAATTAAAGTCTAGATTTAGATTTTAATGGAATGTTTCAAAGATATTACCATAGGTAGTTTATCATTTCATTGTATTTTACTATTTTATTTAATTCAATTTTTGGTGGTGGTGGTGGTGGCGGCGGCGGGGTGTGTGTGTGTGTGTGTGTGTGTGTGTGTGTGTGTGTGTGTGTGTGTGTGTGTAATAATGCAATAGTCTTACCCCAAAGAAATGAAATCTTGGCTTGGAAGGAACAGTCATTTTGTCTTCTTAATCAGAAATTGACTGCAGTGAGGTTACAAGAGACAAAGCAAGGCCACTAGTAAGATGTCTTTTGCCATAATCTATGAGGAAGACAGTAGCAGGGAAGAACTTCAGATACAGCCAGATACTGCAAATGTTTTAAAGATATCTAAGACCGATCAAGTGGTTCGTTGGTTAAAGTTGGCTTGGAATGCCAGCACTGAGCAGTAGGGCCCTGGTTCAGATCTCACATGAGGGCCAGTGACACTGCCCTCTACAGCTAAGATGGTGAACAACAGCTCCACCTGGAGCTGGGCTGCTGTGAGTTGCTACGACGGTGTAGGCTGCAGTGGGGCAGGCCAGCAGCGGGCATGAGCTTTCATGAGCTGCCATGAGCCACCGTGAGCGGCTATCCAATGGAAGGCAAGTGACTGTCTCACCTGGGAAGAGCGCAATGATAATACCAACATGGGCCAGTGAAGCGACGTCCTCCACAACTAGACTGAAGAACAAAAAGACAGCAACATGTCTGTTCCCCTCCCCCAATTCCCCAATAAAATCTTTAAAAATAAATAAATAAATAAAATAAAGATATATAATGAGATTTGCTGAGGGTTACACTGGGGAGTAAGAATGATCATGTAAGGTCAAGATATGAGATCTGGGCAAGTCAGAAGATGTAGTTGCTGCTATTTACTGAGCTAATCAAATTATTGAAAGCAGCAGGTGATTGTTTTCTGGATGAGGGGAGGAGTGCGACAGAGACCAGGATTTAGGAGTTTTAACATTTTAAATTGGGGATGCTTATATTTCATCTAATTTGTGATTCAAGTAAGCAATTGAATATGTCATAAATTCAGAAGAAAGGGCTGGGCTAGAGACGTAAGTATGAGAGTCTTCAGCATATAAATAGCATTTGAAATTATGCAATTGGATGTGGTGACTAAGTGAATGAGTTCCAAGGACAAACCTCTGGGGGTGATCCAGTCTAAATATGTTTTATAGATGAGGATAAACCAGCAAAAGAAAATGACAAGTAGCTGATAAGGTAGAACTGAAAGCAGGTGGATATGATGTTATGGAGGCCACGTGAAGGCAGTATCTCATGGAGAAGGCACATTTGTGAGCCACAGATTAAATAATCCTGCAAAGCTTCTCCCAAAGAGCCTGGCACTTCGTAAATATTACCTGTTATTATTCAGTTGTCCCTGAACTCTGGGGTTTTTGTAGTCCAAGAGAGGCTTCTGGCCATCCAGCAATTGTGGTAGCTGCTAGAACTAGTCAATGATCACTGTTGTGTAATACAAAAGCCATCTGGTCTACCAGGAGAAACTGCCTCCCTGCTGGTCTGGACATGGGATTTCGCACTCAGGCTCTTACTGCCTGAACAATTATTGACAGTTATTGTCATTAAAAGGACTCCACACAACTACCCCTATACCAACTTAAGGCCAGTGCCTATCAGTCAGAGAGGTTGCTATCTCTGCCAGACCAGTAACCTATAAGTAAAATTCCTCTAGCCATTTCTCAGATATTTCTTCTCCCTAGGTTATACTTAGATCCCTCTCACATCTCTTTTATATCATCCACATTTATTTCTTCACCCATATCGCCCATAATTAGATTTAAGGGCTCATTGGAAAAGGAAATTATTAGATGCTTTAGAAGGTAAAATTCAAGCATCCAGTGCCACAAAATATAGTGTGTGTCTTTATTTTGGGTAAGAGAAACACAAAACTCAAAGTTAGAAGCTATAGGTTTTGTCTTCTCTGACTTGAGTGAGGAGGAAGAAAAAGGATAATACTTATTGGGAATTTACAATGTGCCAGATGTTAGTCTTTTTGACTCAATGTAGATTATTTCACTTAAACATCCCATTATCTATTAACATTTGTATTGTTATAGATTTCATTCTATAAAGGAAAAAATTGAGAAATAACTACAAAGTTAATAAGTGGAGCCTGGATTTAAATTCAGGGTCTCTGAATCCAGATTGAGGATTCTTAACCATAACACTTTCCTGACTTGATATATTCACAGCAGAAAAAGAAAAAAAAAGTGGATTAAATAATTTAGCTACACTGTAAACATTTATGTAGAGTTTAACACATTTGTTTAAATTATAGAGACAGACTCATGCAAAATTAGATGCATAAACCTTAAGAAAGTCACTATTGTATTTCCCCATCAGATAAGATTATTTATATGTTCAGAAGATATTCTTGTTCATTGCTACTGCTTTCAGATGAGATTAAATGACAAAAATTTGGGAATCAGATATGATTTTTTTTTTTACTTCTTGACATTAGCTAATGTTTAACCTTTATGCTGCAAGAGTATCATGAATATTCTGTGCTTTTTTTTGTTGTTTTTTTTGTTTTGTTTTTTTTTAAGTTTCCGTATTGCACTGTACTGAATAGGAGCCATATGAATATTTGTTAAATGAATTATATTTTCTCTCTTTAAGGCAACTGATCGAGAGGGAGACCCAATAACATATGCCATTGAGAAAGGAGATCCTCAGCGAGTTTTTAATCTTTCAGAAACGTAAGTTTAAAATGATTGCTGAGTTTTCTTTTTCTTTTAAAACGTTAAACAATGTACTGGTAGCAAGAAAACAGACTTCTAACCAGAGGCTTTCAGCTGTTCGTAGTTTTATTTTACTTGTTTTGTGTGTGTGTGAATGTTGAGAACTGGGGTGGAGAGTAGGGATAATTCTGATCCAGCAATGTTACCCAGGTGACTATTTTAAACATTTTTACTAGGTAAAATGCACTGAGGTGGAAATATTTCACTTGTAGGTATAACCTGGGATTAATTAGATTCCTTTAAAGTTTTCAGCTACTTAATAATAACAATAATAACAATATAATAAAAATAATAACAAGGACATTTTTCCAAAGAGTAACTTGGCATTCAATTGTTCAATCAAAGGGAATTTTGTAAGACAAGATGTAATTCAAAAACAATTAAAGTGCCAAAAAGTCCTTCATTCAGTTTTTGAGTAATAAAGGTATATTCTAAAAAAAGCTAACACAACAATATTGCACATCCATGCTAACTAAGCCTCTTTGTTGTCTGTATAAGTGTCATTCTACTCACCTCTCTGAACATATGATAGATAAGGTTAATCATAACTATTTGGGATACCGGGAGCAGGCATTGAGAAAGAATTGATGTTTGCAGAGAGATCATTTGCTGCCTTCTGCAGTAGCAACTAGCTGTTCGCTGTCACATGTGGCTGGTCGTTAATGAGTTGTACTTGTTACCTTTCTGATGTTTCTATGTGGTCACTAGTGGTTTTTCTCTCTGAAAGAATGGAAACCTGAACATAGCCCATGATTATAAGATGAAAAAAAAAAAAGATAAATGAGCTAGGCCCTGCTTCAGTCTCGGGAACATGTGGTACGTGATGCCAAATCAAGGGAACCCTGTGTGGTCACTTGGTCCTGTGAGGAATAGCTGCCATTTCACATCAAATTGGTTGTTACAACCATGAGCTAGTATGCCTGGAAACAGGATTTCATAAATTTTTAGATTTCACAGATGAATCAACGTCTCCTTTTAAAAAATGGAAAAACTTAACTATTTTGAATTCCTCCCCCATAGATAAATACAAATCATAGATTAGCTATAATTTAAAATCATCATTAAAGTAAGGAAAAATTTTAAAAGGGACAGTTTAACAGTAATCAAGACTATGTGATACTCATTTAAGAATAAATGTATAGATCACCATGATAAACTTAAGGGTTCAGAAATAACTCCGAACATTACGGCCAATTGATTTCCAAAAAAGAGGGCCAAGACAACCCCATCAGGAAAGAATACTCTTTTCAACTAATGAAGCTGGGACAGCAATCTAAAGAATGAAGTTGAATCTTTATCTCATACTATTTGTAAAAATTAACTGAAAGTGAATAGACCTAAATATAAGAGATAAAATCATGTACTCTTAGAAGAAAATACAAAAGTAAATCTTCATGGTTTGGATTAGGCAATGCTTTCAATGATATGACATAAAAAGTAGTACTGATTAATTAGAAGACTGGTAAGTTGAATTTCATCAAAATTTGGAAAAAAAAATTGCTTCAAAGGACAACATCAAGAAAACGAAGGAGAGCCCACAGACAGAGAGAAAATACAGATGGTGCCAAAAAAATGCATACACATTTTAAGAAAGGAAAAAAAAACAACTATTAAAATTGTAATACTCAATATATACCAATAACAAAAGATGAATACAAGTCACATTTGACTTCTGCAATTATAAGAGGTGCTTAAAGTTGTTACCATCAGTGTCCAGACACTCCTGATTACGGCGAACTACTGCTTGAGCAGCGTTGACCGAAATGTTCACTTGTATACATTTTTTTGGCACCCCTGGTATTTTCAAATAATGCATCTGATAAGGGACATACAAGTATATCAATAATATGTAAAAACAAGCAAAAAACTATCAAAACTCAAAAATAAACAGAAATAGTCAAAATAAAAAGACAATAATTTGAATACACATTTTTCCAATGAAGATATATCCATGGCCAATAAGCAGATGGAAGTGTGCTCATAATCATTAGTCATTAGGGAAATGCAAAGTTAAATCATGAGATGCCACTTCACATGCATTTAGAATGGCTATAATGAAAAAGAAAGGAAATATTAAGTATGAGTGAGGATGTTGGGATATCAGAATCCTCATGTATTTTTTTCTGGAACTATAAAATATTCACACTAGAAAAAAATTTGTCATTTTCTCTAAACGTTAAACATAGAGTCACCACATAACTCAGCAATTCCACTCATACATACTCAAGAGAAATGAAAACATACATCCACATAAAAAGTTGCACAAAAATGTCCATAACAGAATTATTTACAATATGAAAATGTAGAAACAACTCAAATGTCCATCTACAGATGAATGGGTTAACAAAATGCATATCCATGCAATGGAATATTATCAATAAAGGAAATGAAATACTGAAGCATGTTACAACATGACTGAACCTTAAAAATGGTGTGCTAGGTGAAAGAAGTCATTCACGAAGAGCACATATGGTATGATTCCCTTTGTATGAAATGTCCAGAGTAGGCAAGTCTATACAGACAAACATTAGACTAGTTTCCCTGAGTCTGGGGGTGGGCGAGAAAGGAAAGCGATTGTTGATGGATACAGTGATGAAAATGTTCTGAAATTCATTGTGGTTATGGTTGAACAGCCCTGCAAATATACTACAATGTATTGAATTGTATACTTTAAATGGGTGAATTTGATGACATGTGAATTATATGTTAAAAAGCAATTACACACACACACACACACACACACACACACACACACACACACACACACACACACACACACACACCCCTCCCTGATAAGCTTTCACTTTCCCTGGTAAGCAGGGAACCCAGGTCTTATGTTCTCTGTTAAGAATTTCTATTTCCGTGTTTATCTGTTTTTCCCTTAATGCTGAAGGTTTTTACAACCGCTTGTTGTGAAAGCGGATGAGTCACCAATTTTACAAAATTCATACTCCACTCGTGCTGCTACCCTAGCAACCATTTTTCTACTACTTCTCCATCTCTCCTTTTGAAACCAGAGACACCTAGTGGGATCACAGAAGTTCAGTAAGGTGTGAAAGATGTCAGTGCAGACTCTTCTGTCTAAATTGACTACCATTTGTTTGTTTGTTTGCTTGTTTGTTTGTTTATTTATTTTTTTCCAGTTACAATTAACCACAATTCTTAATGCTACAGCTCTTAGAACATTTAAGACAGCCATCTCTTTAAATGCAAATTTGCTTTCAGGACAGTGTGGGAGAGTGGAAAATTTCCCCTTATCCTTCTCCATTCTTCTGACTGTCCTAAGAATTGAATTGATATGAGACAGATTAACAGGATTAAACAACCAAATTGATTTATGTACGTACATATACAGATTCCATAGATTATGGGGTCTGAAGACAAATTAGGCAGTTGAGGTTTACATGCTATCTGGAGCTAAGGAGAAAAGGAGGGGATAGTTGTTTGGGACTTCAAAGAGGGTAAGGTAATTCACATGGAAATAAAAAAGCAAATGTTTAGTAAACAAATGTTTGCTGGGCCGTTTTTAATAATGGGACACAAGGGGGACTTTGATCAAATGGGCTTTGATACGTTCCTCCCTAACTATCAAACCTACTTCATATTAAAATAGTATTATTATCTATGGTAATAACTCTCTTTCTGGAACAGGTCCTCTATCTAAATTTTTTTAGGCAGTTAGGGGAAAAGCCAAAGCTTCTTCCTGAGTCATTTGTTTCTTAAAAATAAATAGCTTAAAGTAATTGATATCCCAGAGAAGCATGTTTTAGGGTGGCAAATATGGCTCCTCTTCAAGAGCTGGAATAGGGCAAGTGCCTGTGAGAATCGCATGATGTCTTTTGGTGATTTTGCTGATTTAGTGTCCAGGGCACTGGGCCCATTCCCTTCTATCCTCTGGTCATTTTATTTTGGCCTCTTCATTGCTGTTGCTTCCACTGATGTTTATAGGTTAGCCTAGATCATTAGCAATATAGTTCAGCACATTTGAAATAGGGAAAAATTGAAATTTCAGTCCCTCCCCTCTTTGAAACTTTTGGGGTGTTTGTGCACATTTGCACCACCACTTTTACGTAAGTTGTAAGAATTTTAATAATCCAGGTACTCTTTCAGGAAACAATAGAAAAGAAATTGTGTTCTGCCTTATCAGCACTTCGATTCATGCAAATTGTGTCATTGATTGCATTTTCTTTCTTAAAACAAATTTTGAAAATGTAATTCAGTGTTCATTTTAAGTATTATTTTATGTTATGATACAAATTTTAGCAATAATCATCATTGCAATACCATTACTTTACCTTTTTCTCCATTGAAATAAAAATATGCCAAAATGTGCATGTGATTCCTTAAAAAATATTAGTAGTAATGAATGATCATTTTAATAGTAGTGTGGATTTACAGTGTTAAATTGTTATATACATTTTAATGAATGGAATAGTCACACAGCCAAAAAGAAACTCACTCTTTAAAGAAAAGACCTTGTTCCTTAAAAATCACAACCATTTGTTATGTAATCATTCAATACTATGTATTAAATGTACAGATCTCTATGGTCCTGCTTTATTTCAATTTTTATAGTGTCTGTGTTGATAGTTGCATATGATTCAGCAAATATATATTCAGTAGACATTCACATATAAGTAAACATTCAAATAAGATGTAAATAAACATCCTTTATAAGGATGATGGCCAAATATTTAAGTAATTTATTGCAGTAAATTGATGAATTCTTATAGATTGTCATCATTGTAGCATAGGGTATGCGATGTAACAAAAAGGCTGAGTGCTAAACAAAAGAACCTCAGAGTTATTTCTGTCCCCCGTTAGAATTTTATTTGAAATTTCTTTTGTCTTCACTGGAAGTTTTATTTCTTTCTATGTGACTAAATTTATTTTGACACTAAATTCATAGCTTGATTATGTTTTTCACATCAGTTTGGACTATATGATTACATTGGAGATTAAATATTAATAACATAAGGAAGATGATGCATATTTTCTTTTCTGTCAGCTCTACTTTCAAAATATATAATCAAATCAAACCATTACTCAAACCCATCACTCTACCACCTTAGTTTATGCTGCCATCATATTTTTTTTCCCTAAAATGCTACTTATACCTAACTGCTTATATTGGTCTGTGTTTGTTAATTGTTAATTACTGTTTAGCATGGAATGCCATATCGAACTTGAAGAAATTACATATTTTGAAGTATACTCTAACCTCTCTAAATATCCTAATAAGGCCTGAAACATGATGCCCAAAAGCAACCTGATAAGCCTATCCAAGACTCAAGACATTTGTAAGTGTAAATGATGTCAAATTGCACTAGCAGAAAGTACTGAAAGAGTTTAAAGGAAGCATTGAATATAAAGCATGAAACCTGTAAGATCATCTCTCTCAGTCCACAGTGTGGCTGCTGAGGTATATATTAATAAACAATGCAATTTTGGAAAATGGTTACTTATAGAAGCAGGTTTTACATGCTAGCAGGTTGATTTGTTTGGAAGTGGATCCCCTCTACTACTTTTTTATTTGCATTGTTTAAACAACTTTTGAACACCATTTTTGTGGTTAGGCAATTTAACTCATTGTCTAAAAGGACTTGAATTTGTCAGTCACAATGGATTTTAGGAATATAGCTTTAAGTTTGGTGAGGAAATCCTGTTCAATGTAATTAAAATAATTGAGGTGAAATTCACATCACATAAAATTAGCCATTTAAAGTTAACAGTTTAATGGCATTTGGTAGACACCACGTTGTGCAATTACCAGTTCCATCTACTTACAAAATATCCTCATTCCAAAAGGAAACACAAACCCATTAAACAGTTGCTCCCTACTTACCCTTTCCTCAGCCCCTGGCAACCGAAAAATCATGTTGTATTTCTATGGATTTATCTATTCCGGTTATTTCATATACATGGAATCACACAGTATTTGAACTTTTGTGTCTGCCTTATTTCACTTAGCCTAGTGATTTGACATTCACCTATGGAGAAGCATGTATCAGTACAGAATTCCTTTTTATAGCTGCATAATATTCTGTCATATGTATATACAACAATCATTTATCTATTCATAAATCGATGGACATTTGGACTGTTCTTCTATGTTTTGGTTATTGTGAATACTGCCACTATAAACATATATGTGTATGTATTTAATTATCTGTTTTAAATTCTTTTGATTATATACCCAGATTGGAATTGCTGGGTCATATTGTACCTGTGTTTACTTTTTGAGGAACTGCCAAACAGTTTTCCACAGTGACTGACCATTTTACATTCCCTTCAGCAATATATAAGGGTTCCCATTCTTTCACATCTTCATCAAAACATTATTTTCCAATTTGTTTCACTTTGTTTTGTTTTGTTAATTGTGACCATCCTTGTGGGTGTGAAGTGGAATTTCATTGTAGATTTGATTTGTATTTCCCTGATAACTAATGGTGTTGAACATCTTTTCATGTACTTCTTTGACATTTGTAAACGTTTTTGGAGAAATATCTATTCAAGTCCTTTGCCTATATTTTAATTGAGCTGTTAGTCATTTTTTTGTTGTTGAGTTGTAAGAGTTTCTTGTATATTTTGGGAACCAAATTCTTATTGGATATATGGTTTGCAAATATCTTCTCCATTTTTTTTACCTTTATCGATAATATCCTTTGATGCACAAAATTTGTAATTTTTGTAAAGCCCAATCTATCTATTTTTTTTTATTTTTGCTGCTCATTCTTTTGATGTTATATTTAAACATCCATTGCAAGTCCAAGATTATTGACATTTATCCCTGTTTTTATCTAAGAGTTTTATGATTTTAGTACTTATGTTTAGATTGTTTCAATTTGACTTAATTTTCATATAAGGTATAAATAGTCCAATTTCATTCTTTTGCAATTGTAGATCTCCAATTGTCCCAGCACCATTTTTTGAAGAAACTGTCATTTCCCTATTGAGTGGTCTTGGCATCTTTGTTGAAAATCAGTTGGCCACAGATGTATGGGTTTATTTCTGGACTCTCAATTTTATTCTATTCCCCAGTATACATGGGCATTTTTAAATGCCCTAATTTCCCACGATATTCCCTGCACAGCTTTTCCTCCCAGGCTTTTGGGGCTGTATTGCATGTCTCAGCTGTAATCTTTTGCCTCAGGTGGCTGGCTGTAGGTTGCTCCCTGCCTCACAATGTTTTCCAGGAATACACACTGTTTTTCTGCCTTGAGTGAGTTCTGAGTAAGGCAAAACAAAGACAAGCCCAGTATTACTCCTTCAAAAAGCCTTCAGGCTAGTTGCAAAAGACACACACAATTATTTGGGAATAAAGATAGCTCTGCTCCCTCCAGAAACAGGGACTGAAGTGCCACACTGGGAATGTTGACTACCGTCTTCAAGACCACTCCAAGCTGGGCTGCAAGCTGGGGGCATGGAGAAGTAAAAATGACAGAAGGGTTTTGTTTTGTTTTTTGTTGTTGTTGTTGTTTTGTTTTTTTACCATTTTTAGTTGTCTTTTTCTTGATTCTGTATTTATGTGGTTGCTGTCAGCCTTTGACTATTCTCCAGATTTCTTTCAAAGGTGGTTCTGATGCTTCCTGCTTCGTTTTTCAGTGTTTTTGTAGAGACCATCCCTTGGAGCTGCTTACTTTGCCATTTTCACTGATATCATTCCTGTGCAATATATTTTCAATCATGTAAAATTTAAGTAGCACTATTGTTTTATCAAAAGGGATTCTTATGTATTTTTAATATTTGAACTTACAGGATTGACTGTGTTCGTAAATGCAACCCAGTGTATCTTGCTCTATAGCATCCATCTGGCTGGTAGTAAGACTCCTCCTTGCCAGTTATTTCTCAAATTTCATGAAAGGCTTCTGTGTGCAGCCATAAACTAATCTTTCAGCTGTGAATACCAAAAAACACTACGTATTCTTTCTTTCCATCTTTACCTCCCAAATAGCCTATTCGACTGCCTACTCCACTGGGACACTGGGATATGTTATCTCAAGCAAAGAACTATCTTCATCATAATCACCTGATAAAAACTGTTTATGTATAATATGGCTCTAAATGGAAATACTATATAAATTTCTAGTAATTTTTTTCTAATTCAATGTACAAGGAAGAATAAAATGTATTGAACCTTATAGTGAAGGGAAACATGAAAAACAATAACTTGATTTCTTTCTTTCTTTTTTTTTTGTACTGTTGCTAGGTTTTCAGATTTCCTTTTTCTTAAGTTACTCATGCATAAGTATCAGAAGCAATAAATGTCCTACTTTTCTCTTTGAATGTCATTTTAGAATGAAATTATCTGAACCATCTGTGATGTGGGAAGTTGATCCAAACCTGATTGTTATGAACTACTCAGGGAATTGGTTTTCAGTTATTTTGACAAAACATTTAAAAATGTACAAGAAACAAAGTCAGTTTTTCATAGCCATGCCATATGTATAAAATATTTATTAAGTCCATGTTAGTGACAACAACAAAATAAAACACAGTAACTAAGACTCTGAAACTCATTCATTGGTGTTGGCTCTCTGTACTCACCTACCATTTGTGATGTCAATTGTTCAATTGCTTAAATGCCACTATAACAATAAAAGCACTTGCATTAAAATAAAAACCTTTTATTAATCAGAAATAAATTATCTTTTTTATTCTTGATAAATATTTTAATGTTTTGTTATATTAATATATTCTCTCCTCCACAGTAGATGCTTGTTAGGCTGTAATTAAAAAGCCATGTACAATGTTGGATTGTAATATCAAAGGTATAAATGTAGAACTCATCTTAGATAACATTATAAGTGACCAACTGTTATAACACAACTTACATTGGAGAATAAAGACTTTATTTGGAAGCATTTATTTTGAATAGCAAATAAGTAAGCAGTAATATTTTAAAAGTATGAGAATTTTCCCAAAGGGCATTCATCTTCTAGTATATATAATAAGTTAAATTAGGAAACACCTACATTTCAAAAGACTAGTAAAATTGCTGGTGTATGGACGAAACTGTTTGTTTTTATAAATTATAAAATGAAAGAGTAAATGCTCATAAAATTGTATTTTGTTAAAAAATGAAAAATATGTAGCTTGATTCCTATTTTGAAAAGAATTATAATGCATTTGAATATTGTTCTAATAGAGAATAAAAGTAAATATTACAAAATAACTATAATAGCTATAAAAAGTTTTAATAGTCCACTGAATATTTTCTAATTTTCTACAATGAGTCTCAATTATTTTGAACTTAGAAAAGGAAAAAACATTAATTACTTGATTGTCAAAGATGGAATTTGGATGTTTGCGTTTCCATAATGGACACATATGAGGCAATGGATGGGAATGGTGATGTAGATTAAATATGAAAAACCATTCCTTGACTCTAAGGATTATGAAAGTGCTATAATGGAGTTTTTTAACTTTGAAATAATCACAAACAAGAGACATTTTTCTTCCTGGAATGAATTAAGTAGTTTTGTTCTTACTTGAAGGATAGAGAATTAACTTAGTTATCTCATTCAATTTGGCATTTAAAAAAAATTATTGTCAGGAAACTCAACAGCCTTAAAAGCCTTTTTTCAATTTTCATCATGAATCCTAGAATCATACATCTTACATACTCAAGCTATGTTTGCTGAACGAGAAAACATATCAAATGTAGTTTAGGATAATAGGAAGACTCTCTGCAACATAATATATTTTTGTCTCATTTGTTTGTTTGTTTTCTCTGTCACTAGTACTGGGATTCTAACCTTAGGGAAAGCACTGGACAGGGAAAGCACCGATCGCTACATTCTGATTGTCACTGCAACTGATGGCAGGCCAGATGGGGTGAGTACTCTCCCTGGGAAAGGATTTTAAAAATAGTATTAAAAACAAAACAAACAAAAAACAACAACAACAACTCAGAGAACCTTGTTTTACGCTCTAAAACAATCTATCTCCATCATTAATTCATGCATTAATCTACCTAATCTCTTTTTCACGTCGAGTAACTACTTACAATTGCTTGGAGAAGTGCTCTTTTCTCCAATGGGCTTTTAAAATATGTGAACCTGTACTCTGAATCTGTTATGATGTCACAACTTTTTACCTGACTAAATAGATAAGTGCATTCTTACCCAATTTATGGGGAAAATGGAATTTAACTTTGTCTCGGAAGTATTCCACTGAGCCCATCTTCAGCACAGCTCTCTGGGAGTTTTACTATGTTTGAAGCTGTTTACTTAAATGTCACTTTTTTTTTTTGTGGGGTGGGGTGATGTCTCAGAAGGGAATTTTTGAATAAGTATTATGAAACACTTGGGAAAATAACTTGATTTGTTAGTAACACTCAGAATCCTGACTAATCCTTGATGATTGAAATGGTTTAAATGGGCTCATGAATCTACAGAAGATAAATTTTATTTCCTATAAAACTAAAATTTAGTTTTAAGAATACATAAATTATTGATTCATTCTGGAATATTTTAAAATCATGACACACTACTCTTCAAACTACCCCACCCACAACCACCATCATTTAAGCCTTGTAACATTTCAATTTTTGGCGACATATCATTAGATTATTTTTTTCACCATTTCTATGCCACAGGTTATGTTTCTTCTGTAGTCAAGTGTTTATGGGTGAACTCAGCACTGTATTCTGGAAATAATTTCAAAATCAGCATAGTTATGTGGGCCAGACTCACTCTCCTCAAGCAGTAGAATATCTCCAGTTTACTTGAAATTACCTCTTTGATCTGAACAATAGATTGGTTGAAGGCATATAATGCTCTCCTATCACTTATTTGAGTAGGATTGCTGAGAAAATTTTATCGTGATTAAAAATATCAAATTTCTAGATGGACAGTTTTATCATCTCATTTAAATGTCAGAAAAATAAATAGGGATGATTATTTAAATTTGGTAATTACAGTCAGCCTATAGTAAGCTCTTTGCCATTTTTCAAATATTACATAAATAGTTATATGTAGAAAATAAAATATTTGGAACAGTTTTAATAAATAGTGGGGTCAATAGAAGGCCCTTAGATATTAGATGAGTGAAGAAAAATAAAACCTAAGATTAATTTTTATAGGTGCAATGTCTTTAATTAATATAGTGTGCCTGTGCTAAATATATGTGAAGAAATCAGAGATAGTCTTAAGAAGAAAATAATTAAAGAAACTGACTTATGAAAGTTTAATGGGTAACTTGGCTAGGAAATAACTAAGGGAGAAAATTCTACAGAGGAGGAATTATTCAGCATAGAGTAAGAGGTGTAATTAGAGTGAAGTAAAATTAATAAAGAGCATTTAGGTCAACAATTAGGATAGGAAAAAAAGAAATAATACATAGCTTTGAGATATGTCACATTATAAATCAAAAATGAATGTCAGTAATATTAGCTAGGACCTTTTAAGCCTGGCCTTAAAAATAAAATTTCTTACACAAGAGAACAGATGGAAAAGAAATAGTATATTAAAATATCTGGCATAGTCTCAATCTACCAATTTTGGTTTTGTTCATATCAAAAACTGAAAATAAGTTCTGGTTTAAAATTAGTAGTTTAGTTCTCTCTAGAGCATTTTTTTTTCTTATTTGCATGTGTGTTTTAGGTCCTCTCACTTAGCATTTCTAGGTTCCATTTATTTTTCTCATTCTTATAATCAATAAGGTCTCATTCAGTCTTAAAATGCTGACACTTTTTAGTAAATTTGTTTTATTTTCAAAAGTTTATAGTGAGAATATCAGTAGAAAAAGAAACATTTAGATTTCAAACAAAGCTTCTCCAGTTAATTTTACCATTTATGTAATTTTATTGATGGACTTATGTGTGGGCACATATAGTGGGTTCATAAAGAAGAAACTGATTACAAAATAATAATATTCTTACATTTATAGCACATTTATTATCTAAACATTTAGATATTTCCTCCCCCCAAAAAAAATTATAGTAAAATTAACCTTTTAACTTTAAAACTCATGGGTCTCAGGAAAGATATTTAATGAGCACAGACTCCAGTTGGATGGACTTTTCTTAAATCAGAATGATTACCAGCAATATGTGTGAAACAAATTGGAAAGATATAATTTGAAAGTTTCATAATGAAAAACCCCCTCTCCTGCGGCCCCCAAAATGGGGTTGAGGAAGAAGAGAGCTAATAGTCTTTTGGTGATGGCTAATTTTTTGTAGAAAATATTGAGGGAATTTCAGAGATATCCTTACATTTTTTCCTTTTCTAAATTCATTTTGTCAATTATACAAAATTATACAAAAAAATTATACATGTAAGTTAAATATCTCATGTAATGAGTTACTATAAATATTTAGATTGTTTCATTTATGATTACAGATAAAAGCATATTTTCAAGATTTTAATAAGTATTTATATTTATTTGTAATTACTTGAAAATTTATGAAGTTGCAAATTCCTTCAGAAAGATGTTACCATTCTTTATTCTAGTATTTTCACATTTTATCTGAAATAGCCTTTGATTGAAAATTTTGGGTATCATAAGTTAGATTTTTTAATCAGTCACATTTTACCTAATTTACTTAATAAAATACAGGATCACTCCCATATGTATTTTTTGAAGCAATATACATTCCACTTCTGTCTTTAGAAGCTTCCTTGTACAGTATTTAGTTCTTAGCTAAACTAAGTCTGACCAATATGAGCTTAAAAGAAATTTTATTGGAAAATCTGGGCAAACTTTATTATATTTATGGATATAATTTGATTAACAATGTCAGAGAAGGAAAAGTTTTTTCTTGACCCTCCTAAGGTCCCTGGCTGGGTTTGAAAATGAAGCTGAAGGAGTCAGATTAACAGGAGAAAGCATACAGATTTATTTAATATATGTTTTACATGATGTGGTATCCCCCCTAAGGAAATGGAGACCCAAAGAAAAGGTGAAACCTACATTTTTTTTATATCACTTTGAACAGAGAAGCAGTTGTGGGACAGCAACTAAACCAAGTGGAGAGGCTAAAGGGTATGAAGATTACTTTAGCAAGGTTCATCTTGTATAGAATTCCCTTGGTCTCAGCTTCTGGCTCTTGATGATAAGAATGTTACTTTCCTTCTGGTACGAGGGGAGGGGACGTCTTTCATATGGGAATTTCACCTCTTGCTTTTAAGGAAAAAAAAAAGGTCACAGTATTTTTACCATACATGCAGTTTTTCAAGTGCCTTCAGTTCAAAATAGTCAATATGCCAAAGTGGCATATTTTGAGGTGATATGCTCTGAACTTCAAGAATTAATGGCAGCATTGACTTTTAGGAACATGGCTATAAGGAACAAGAAACTCAAACAATAGTAGCTTCAACAAAACAGCTTTATTTGTCTCAAATATACTGAAATCTAGAGGTGGATAGGAAAGGGCTTGTTCAAGGGCTAAGCAATACCATCAGGGATGCCTGCTGTCTCTTTCCTGTTCTGTGATTTGCAGTGTGTTTATCTAATGGTCTCCAGGCCATTGCATGTTATCTAATGGACTCCAGACCATTGCATCTGTTCTTATATCAAAAGCAGATGCAACTCTAGGCATCTGTTTTCCATTTCAGAAGGGCAAACGGTAAAGGTAAATGCTGGAAGAGTCCACCCACTTTTCGCCAGAGAACCAAAGCTTTTTTCAGAAGCCTCACCTAGCATATTTTCTCTTACATTTTATTATTCATAGGTAACCACACCAAGTTGAAAGATAACTAGTAAGTAGGTTTTGTGGATTGTGGTTTTGTCAGTCAACCAATAGTACAGCAAAAATATATAAATATGCAAATATAGTGAAAACATAATATGCAAACAGTAATAAAATTTTTTTTTCACTTTTTTTAAACAAATTGATCAGTTATTTCCCAATTGGCAAGCATTTATAGGCAAAATTTGAAGTTGTCCCATAGTGTGGATATTTCTGACCAGATTTCACATGTGCAGTAATATTGTTTTCTTCCTTAAAAGATAGGATAGATAACTTGATTCTACCATGATTTTCGCTTTCTGTAAAATTTTCTTGAATTACTCTTAATTTACTAGATTATGGCTTTTACACTTGTAATGCTTCACAATTTCAGTTTGGTGGGAAGCTTAGCATCTTTGCTTTGACCTTGAAGTATTTTTCCCTAAATGTTTTTGAACATGACAATATAAACAATTAGAATCTAGAAGTTGAACATTGAATCAATATTTAGAAAATAATAGCAATAGACAAAACATTTATGCAGGCAGAATTGTATGTGAAAATCAAATGACTTTGAATTTCAATATAGTTGGTTTAATAATAACATTTTAGGATACAACACAGATGGTTACATACATATATTTTCTGCTCTGCCATTTATAATGTGCCAAATATACTATATATATTTTTCCTGATTTTTTTTTTAAAAAGTGATAGATTTATTTACTTTTATAAAAAGACATGAATATGTCATTTTAAAAGATAATGGGTCACTTATTCATTCTCTCTGAAAAACATAGATTTATATTTCTTGATTGGGAATAAAGCACTGATATTTAATTTAGTGTTTTCTGAAATAAATCTTCTAGAAGTTTGATTTTTTAATTGTGAGATAATATATAATATTACTAGTTTCCATCATGTTAATGTTATATATAATAGAATATGTAATATATTACATATATATTATAAAAGATACTCTAGTAACACCACACTCAAATGCGTACAGAATAAAAAGCTTCTTTATTTTTCATACCTGATCTGATTTTCTTCATGATTCTTAGTCTGCTACCTAGACAGTAAGTAATGAGTGTCTAGCCTGGGGGTTGTAACGGGGGAGGATGGTTTGGTTCACACTTAACTCACTTAGAATAATATTTCAGCC